ATACCCTAATTTAAATACTATAAATTGGGATAAATTAAAAAATCAGTTATTATAGCTTTTAAAAGCCTTATATGGGCTTAAATAAAGCCCTAGATAATGGTAACTAAAGCTGAAGTCTATTTTTAATAAAATAGGCTTTTTACTTTTAAAATCCGACGAGGCTACTTATTTTAACTAGGATTTTAAAAATCCTGCTTTTATTGTTACCCACGTCGACGATTTCCTTATATTTAATAAAAATATTAAATATATAGAGGAAATTAAGGGTAAAATATCGAAATATATTAAAATTAAAGACCTAGGCGAAGCCTCGAATTTCCTAGGTGTTAAAATTACTAGAAATAGGTTTAATAAGACTATTTCTCTCTCTTAAAGTCATTATATTAAGGAAATTCTTAATAATAATAATTTTTCGGAAGCTAAAATTACTAATATACCTATAAATCCGGGTATATTAAATAGTGATTTAGGGAACGAAAAAGATGACTATTTATTTCTAAAAGAGTTATTAAAGACCTATTAGTACTTAGTAGGGTCTTTAATGTACGCTTTGGTAGTAACTAGGGCTGATTTAGCCTTTTTAGTCTCCTTTGTCTCTTAATACCTCTATAAGCCTACTATTTACCTATTTAAAGTAGTAAAAGGTATTTATAGATACTTTAGTGGCATTATTAACTATAATATTACTTATAATAGTAATATTAGGCTTGTAAAATTAGTGGGCTATACTGATTTTAACTAGGCTGGGTATAAAAGTATTAAAAAATCTATTTCTAGGTACTTATTTATATTAAATGGAGGTCCGATTAGCTAGAAGTTTAAAAAATAGTTTATTATAGCACTTTTTATTATAGAGGCTGAATTTAATGGACTTTAGGAAGCTATTTAGGAAGCTATTTGGCTTTAGAATTTATTATTGGAAATAGGTTATTAAATTAAACCTATTATTATTAAAACCGATAATAATGGGGTATTATCTCTTACTTATAATCCTGAATATTACTAAAGGACTAAGTATACTGCCCTATATTATTATTATATTTAATAAGAAGTAGAAAAAGGGAATATTAAAGTAGAATATCTCCTTTCTACTATAATGCCTGCCGATGGGTTAACTAAACCCTTACCTCGGGTTAAACATAAGGAATTCGTTAAGTTAATAGGCTTAAACGATCTTAATAACCCTATTTAACCTATATTATACCCCTAATATAGGTATATATTTTCCTTATATTTTTATAAAATATCTTAAGGAAAATACTCTAGGGTACTAAAAAATTGTTCTAGGGTACTAAAAAACTATTCTAGGGTACTAGAAATCTACTCTAGGGTACTTGGTTAGCTATTTTAATATAGCTAATAAGGTAAAAGAGGGAGTATTATAAAGGTAACTTTATTTACCTTATTATTCGCTTTATTATTAATATTACGTAAGTAAACTATATACTATATTAATCTACGATTTCTATAGATTATTATAGGTATTAATTATATAAGTAATACTGCTTATATAAGCTTACGTAACTAATAGAAAGTGCTAGAAAGTAACTAAATAAGCTAGAAATCTCTCGAGACGGAATTACGTACTACGATTACGTATTTACTTACGTATACGCTTATTAATTATATTATAATTAATAAGTAATAGAATATTTTAGTAGGAGGTTTTTATACCTATATATAGGCGTATATTTACCTACTTAGACCTTTCGTTAAGTAAGTAACTTCTTATATAGTAATTAACTATATTACTCTTTTTATTATAAAAACCTCTTTTATATACGCTTATTTCCCCTATATTTATATATTCTTATTTCTATATAAATATTTACTTTTTATATTCTTTTATAAGAATATCCCGTATTACCTCGTTAAAGCTATACGTGCTAGATATTATAATATACTTATAATAAAATATTATAATATAAAATAGATAATAATATTATTAAAACGCTTTTATTATTAAAATAGAGTAAATAGGGATATAAAAAGTTATATTAATATTTATATAGTATATTAGTAAACGAAGCTTTATTATTATAAGCTATATAGCTTATTATGCCCCCTATTTACCCTAGTTAGGCTATAATAAGAGATATTATTAGACTTTATTACGGGCTTATTTATATTAACTATATTAATTAAGAAGTACCTCTATAACGTAGTATTTATTATAATAAACTAATTTATAAAATATAACGTTTATATTATTATAAAAATAATTTTTATAGCCTAGGGATTTATAGACTTCTTATTAATAAAAATATTTATAAAATTTAAAATATTTAAAAGGTTCGTTTTTAATAAGAAGTTATTATTTATAAATAAGTTTTAGACTTATTTTTATTATTTTTTAATAATAAAAAAGTGTTTTAATACTACGTTTTATTTATAAATAGATAGTTAAATAAAATAGTAAAACTAATATTTAGAATAATACTTTCGCTATTTTTATACTTAAAACTAATTAAATTAGGTATAGTATTTTTACTTAGCTAAGTTTATATATAATAATACTTAATACTTAGTAATTCGTAAAGCGCTTATTAAGGCCCTATTTAGGCTTTATTTACTTATTTTATATTAATCTTAACGGGGACTTGAGATAGTATATAAAATATTTTAGTTAAAAAATATATAGTTTAATTACGAGCTAATTAAGAAGCTCTATAACCCCTTATATAAAAAGTATATAAAATATATAAGTAATAAGTTAATAAAGCTAGGATAAATATATTATATAAAATAGGTAATTAAGTATTATTATTAAAAAAGAATATTAAAAAGTAGCGTTTTAGTTAGAAATTAGTTAATAAATATTTAGGCTTATTTAAAATTAAGTTAATAATTAAAATAGTGGGGGTAGCTTATTAACTAAACGTATTAACGTAATATAAAATATATAATATATTTTATATATCCCTATTTAAGTTATATTAATATTATAAAAAAGCCTTTTAAAAACTCTTATTTATTAAAGATATAAACGGGGAGCTATTTTATAAAATAAAAAATATTATATAATATAAAAGGCTAAAAAGGAGGTAATAATACTTAATTTAATAAAAGGGATATAATAATAATAAAAATACGTAAGAGCTAGCTAAGTATATTAAAAACGTAGCGTTAATTAGTATATATAAAAAACGAGTTTTAATTAAGTAATATACCCTAGTTCTTAATAAGTTTAATAATATAACGAACTAGTTATTAATAATAAAAAAGGGGGCTATATAGCTATAACTAAGTAATATAAACGTATTAATTATAAATAGCTTTCTTAATTCTTATAACTTACGGGAGGATTACTCTTATATATAAAGGGGCTATTCTTATTTTTATTTTTAGAATTATTAAAGAAAAAGTAGTTATTTTATTATTAATAAATTTATAAATAATTAGTTATAAATATAGAGCGTAAGTAAAACGACTATATTATGGTTAAAATGTTATTTAAATAGCGTACTTTATTATAAATAATACGTAATAATATAATTATTATATTATTATAAAATAAAAACGTAGCGTAAAAAGAGTTTATAGTTATTTTATTATTATTATTATTATTAATAAGAGTAAAATAGGCCTTTTTATTAGCGTACTTAAGTACCCTCTACGTATTATTAATAACGATTTTATAAGTTTATTAAAGTTATAGAATAATATTAATAACTTAAGTAATAATAATAATAAAGCGATAATAAAATAATAAATTTTTAAATTATAAATATTATTATTCGAAGTAAGAGCGGTATTTTAGAGGATTTATATTATAAATTCTACGGACTTAAGGACTTAAAATATTATTAATTAATATATAAAAAAAGTAATAGAATAATAATAGTATTAAGTACTTATTATATTTTTATAAAAATAGTTTTATATAATATACTCTATATAACGTATACTAAATTCTAAAAAAGTATTAAATAAAAGAGCGAACTAGGGGTTATAAATTATTAACTTAGCTAATTATAATACTTAGTTTTTAAATTAAGTATTTTATATATAATATAAGCGAGGTAGGGGAGCGAGCGTACTTAGTTAACCTTAATTTTTTTAATATTTACTTTTTTTTTTTTTAATAAGAGTTTATAATAATTAAAATAAGTAATATATAAATAGTAATATATATATAAGGTTAGGGTAATTAAAAAGGATATTAAGCTTTTTAAATAAATAGCTATTATTATTATTACTAAGTATACTTATAATACTAACGACTAGTTTATTATTAATAATAGTAATATTATTAAGAAGAGCTATACTTATATTAAAATAGAATTAATAATAAATATAATACGATTTTAAAAAAAATTAATTTAAATACGGGGAGTATATAAAATTAAGGGATTTAAAAAATATTTATTAGTTATAAAATCTATATAATAAAAAAATAGCGTAAATATTAATAAAAATAAAAGATTATATATAATTAGGATAATTATAAATAAAAAAAAAAAGAAATTAAGAATTATAATAGCTTAAAAAGGGGTTAATATTAATAAATAAAAGTAAAATAACGACTACTTAGGTATTAATAATTATAAAAACGGATTATAAATAGGAGCAACTTAGGTATAGAATTATAAAGTTAATTAAATTTATTATTTAAAATAAGGGGTTTATATTTAGGTTAATAAGTACTATTTTTATTTATCCTTATATTATATATTAAAGGATTTTATAAATAAAAAATTAATATAATATATATAAATTATAAATAGTTTTTAAAATAAAATTTAAAAAAGGGAGTATTTTATTAAACTTTATTAATTAAACCCCGTTAGTTAAAGAATAGTTTAAAAAGTATAAAGAGGGGGACTAAGTAATAAAAAAGTAATTTAAATATATATAAAGCGCTAATAGTATACCTCGAGGGAAGGGTAGATTTTAGTAATTTATTTTTTAGACCCTAATAATAGTTAGCCTTTATAAGCTTCTTCTTTGTGTTATATACCTATTGATAAATACAGCCAGATAGCTTTGCGAAGATTTTGATGGACTGGAAACCGTTCAGCGCCGATGCGAGCTTGTCGCTCTACTTCTCCGACATGGTCAGGGATACGTCGGACGTTCCTCACGGACAGGTTCGCCAGTGGTGAGAAAGTTCCCGTCCCCCGTCGTTCCAGCTCGGCCGCTCTCGCCAGAGGTCGGCTGTGACTACTAATCTTTCCAGCGGAGCTGTGCTAACTAGCTCTTTCCAGTTTCGACTCCCATGAACACTCCCACGACGATCTCGCAAACATCCACATTCCAGTCAGCGAGCTTCGAGACATGCTTAGAGTCGCCATCGCCACCGCCATCCAGGACCGCGATATCCCTCACGACGGTGATAAGTCGGAGGAGGAGGCAGAGATGGCAGACGGAGATATTGATGGCGTGCGAACGCGACAGTCAGAAGTTTGCTGGGGAACACGCAAGAGGGCGTGTCTTGGTGGAATGGGGCAACATCGGCAGACGGGGTGGAACGGACGAATCGGGCAAGATGGCGGATCACATGTATTAAGAGATCTCGGCCCGAACAAAACACAGGTTATCCGTGAAGGAAATTTGCGGTCTGGTGTGTATCTTGCCGGGTCTGGCATGTCTCACAGGCTGGCCTCCCAAGAGGTTATTGAGAGGCATGTCAGGCTGTAAGCTAGACGCGCGCTCCAAGAGAGGAATTCAACGAATGCTTATCGCAATTATCTTCACGTTCCGAGGCTAGACTACATGTGTTTGCGTAGAACCACTACAATATAGGAGAAGTGATTTGGTTTACTAACCTCCGTCGCTCATCATGGGCTATTTCCTGTCAGTATACGCGTATCAATCGGTACAGCACAGACGACTTATATATTCTTCTACTTTGTTTCTTCATTTACAGCCCAAGAGTGGCTAATAGGGGGGTGGTCATCCTTGGGGAGTAGTCTGCTTTGCTGCCGGAGGTACTGCGAAACTAGGTTCCGCTACGCGCGTTTCATAACCCATATCCATCCCGTTCAATCTGACGGCTTCTAGCGCACTTCCTTACTAAGCACACCGGAAGCAGGTTATTAATGCTGGATGAAGCCTAAGGAGCACATGTGGAGCGGGGTACCCAGATTCCAACCTGGGAAGCGCTACGGCATGAAGTTGTTGAAGCCTGGCTGTCCGACGGCATGCGGGAGTTCTATTCGCACGCCTTAGAGTACTCTAAGTTACCGAGCGTCTGACGGGCTAATATCCAATTTACCGTCCAAAACGGTATGTCTTCGGCCACATGATGTTCCGCATTGTCCGTTTCGAGGAACGGTACCCACTACTTTAGGTTGGCGAAGCCATCACGAAGTAAGCTGTTCCGGTTCCATCTAGATGATTGCAGTGAGGGCCGGATTAGTAGTTGGGTCGGTGACGACCAGCGAATACCTGGTGTTGTATGTTTTTGCTTTTTGTTGATGCTGCTTTTTGTGGGTTGGTTGAGGTAGGTGACGTGAGGGATCGATGTGGAGGAGTACGAAATGTTGAGGCGGGGTGGACTGCGTGAAAAGAAAGGCTTAGTTTGGGATGAGATGAACGGCGAGTCGTAGGTAAGTAGCTGGTTCACACCGTGCTTCCTGTCGCCGTGTCTGTTTACGTATGACCCAGGGCCAGTACTGCCTTCACGGTACCTCGAATTGCACGGCTGGGTGGCAAAGCCACGTCTCAGGTAGACTCTGGTGTACTCAAGTATCAACAAAGAGACTTTGAGCTTTAGAGTGAACCAGGAATCGCGGTTTCGTCGTCATCGTTCAGGCGTGGTGCAGGAATGTGTCAGAGGTGCCGTGATCGTGGGGCTGACGAGCAGACGGCAGCCTCAGAAAAGACAGTTTGCAGAAATGAGAGCTTGCATTACGAATCTGCTCATACGAAGTAAGTATTCCAGAGTCCTCCAAATGTAAAAGCATTCAATGTCCCTACAGTTTAATACTCAGATGGTCTATAAAGTATTGCCAGGCTCAGGGGCTTGGTCTAACTGTGACACTTGATGTCTGCAGGTCTGCTTCTTTGTCCCATGAGGCATATTGTATGTTCTCATAATAATTGTGCTCTATACAGGGCTTCTTTGGATAGTGTTCGGGTGGATTACCGTGATTACAGATATCTGATATGTCGACCTTTCGGCCAATAGCATCGGAATCTGCAGTAATCTGGAGATGCTTTGCTTCGTAATCCGTCCTGGAACAACATAGTTCACTGAGAGAATGCCGGCAGGGCTGGATTATGTGGAAGGCAATGGGGTTTCTCGTAACACAAAAACTAGCCGAGAAATCCTTGGGGGAAATGTGCCATTCATTTCCAACCAGCCGAATATCGTCTGAGGTTCTGTGCTAGACGTATAGAGATCCTGGCCACGACGGGTATTTCAGAGGTATCTGGAATTACTTTGAGATATCATGAAAACCTGGCCAGGAAGATGATCGAAAGATGGCCGGCCCGCACTGTGAGCAGTCAATCGGGCCAAGGCTTGGGATGCGATGGCACCACGTACAGAGCATCTCTCTCTTACTTCGGATAGAGAAGCCCACGGAAACATGGAATCGATAGTGAAACTACCGTGGGGCGGCCTACGACGTGGAGATGGAGAGACTTTCTCGCAAGATCATCGCAATGTGCTTCTTCCTATGCTACGTAGGGATGAAACGCGGTGCCATCTGGGAAAAGGATAGGTAGGATGTTTCTTATCGACACCGTGAGTCTGTGGCTCTTTCCGTCCCTTCTGACTTATTATTCTTCCGCCGTCTTGTATACTTAGGCACTGAAGAACGAAGCCTCCGAATGGGGGAGGCCTGTAAGTGAGTGAGCCTCCTCCCGAACTGTCCAACCCAACATTATCACCGCATCTCTCTCAGAACACAGAAAAGAACTTGGCAAGCACTAAACCTCGGCATTTATCAATAAAAAAAAGATCTCTAGAAAATTTCTCCTAAAAGTTCGGGCTCAGGGTGTTGAACACTGGCCCTATGAAAACCCCACCCCCCTAGGGGAATTTTCTGCTCGGTATTTTACCGCTAGGCTAAGGCGTTCCCGGGCGTCCCCGGGGCTGGTAAAAGTGAGGGAGAGGAAGTTGTAGATAAAGGGTCGATGGGCGGGCGGTGGGCGGTGTGGTGGCGGTTTGGCTATCCAGGTGGCTGAGGTGGGTGAGTGGTGATTCGGGCCTTCGAGTGCGGCTTCAATCGTCTCACTTAGTTTTTTCCTTTTCTTCGCTGTACGTAACCATTATTAACTTGATGAGCTAAGTGAGATTTCATTTACCCCTTTCATTCCATGTTCACTGCTTGCTTAACTTTCCCTTTGCTTGACGATGACTTCCCCCTTTTCTTACCTAAGTCTTACCCCTTTTTACCCTCAAACAGGTTAGGACTCAGAAGATACAGTATCTGAATCTGCATCTGACTACTTCAATGCATTTTCAGTCACCTGAGTGGTAGCCCGTCACAACGGCTTGGGGTTATGATGGCTTTCGCCACACACATGAAGGATATACAGCTGCCAAGATACATGCTTGACTTGATCATCCGTGCCACCACATGAGATCAATTGAGGAGTCATACACAGAACAGACAATACGGAAAAGCCAATAGGTAGTCCACATATCTATCTTATCTCAATGAGAGAAGCCTCAGTGAGAAGTAAGTGGGAAGAGTCCTCATTGTTGAATGTGCCCTTTACACGTTGAGGCTCCAGACCAGAATTACTATTTTCAAGACCTGAACGCAGCTGAATTCCACTGCGTACCTTCTCTTATTTGACAAATTCTCGAAAATCATGTTCACAAAGATGACTCAGCTACCGAAGTATACCTAAACTAAGCAGTACCTGGGAGAAAGCCTTGGTGATCGTTGTACAGACAGATATCTCCGTTATGAATCAAATGAAGAAATAATAGCAGCATGGTGCCGGTGATGTGAGTAACATCAAGTTGCCACTTCAAAGAATCACATACCAAATGTAGCATAGGCGTACAGGAGAACATCTTCATCTCCATTCTTCGCCTGTCGTCTACGACCGGTCCTCTTATTGGCTCGCAGGCACCTGACAAGGGTAAATCAGGGTGGAGCCGGACAGGCCGCACGCGCCCTCGCACCCTGGAGGTCGGGACACCTCGATAGGCAGCCAGCTAACCCGACTTTCACATGAACCTTCCTTTTGTAAATCTCAGGCGACCTTACATGACTGTCCATCAAATCCTTTCTTTCACCTCCTTCTATTTTCCCCTTTCTCCCTTTTCTCGCGTTTCCTTGGGGTAATCTTCGACATAGAGAGTCTTCTTTCAGACCATCCTCATCGACGAGGTGAACGCAACAGCCCTTTCCCATGCTACATCGGACTCCTTACCGCTTTGAAATGAGAAGGCCAAGGCAGATTCATGCAGAGAAGGACCAGGACACCGGTGTCCGCCAGAAAGCCCCCAGCTCGCCGGAGGCCGAGAAGTGGCGCTAAGGAGAACCATCCAGCTTTCAAGAAGCCTGCTCCCACCCCCGAAGAAAAGTATTATTTTGATTACAGCAGATCCTGCTGCCTTATATCTGCTCCGGCACTGTTTTATGTTGACACCGAAGATGGAAAGCAGGAATGGGAGGCTTGTAAGTGGACTCTTCCTGGGAGTTGCCTGACGGCCCCAAGTGCGGCCTCGATCATTTTCACCTCATCGACTCGTTGTTTTTTTCTCTCGAATGCGGCCATAGCTATGGAAAGAAACCTCTAGGCACGCTGCCATCGTCCCTTCTGTCTCGTCATCATTGTCTTCATCTTCATCTTTGCTTCTGTTTTCTCGACCACTCTTTCTGCCTTCTTCGCGAAAGGCCTTGCGACCGGCCTCCCCCCCCCCCTTCCCCGGAAAAGTACAGATCGGAATCCTGAGAGGCAGTGCCTGCATATGTGCCTGCTTGCTTTGCATACACCTGGGGCAACCATACACAATCACTCGGGCAATGATGAAATCTTCACATACACGGGACCGTGTGCCACTTTGCCTGGCGTTACTGGCATGACTTGCAGAAGAATACTGAGCCTACAACTTTGCACGGGGGAGAACCACATTCTACAGGAATTGATATCACTTAGGAAGTCTTACAGATGATGGCGTGGGAAAACGTATCGGGTTGCCGAAGCCTTGCTCGCGTGGTGATCGTCGTGGGGTGGCTCGACGGTCCAACCCTCTGATACCACAGTGCACCGCCGCGCCTCCATTAACGGGTCGGTGCTGAGAAAGCGAAATTTATCTTGGCTCAAACTTTGGTGTGAGACCACCATTGAAAAGGTGGCTCCCAAGACTAGCGGCCATTGAGAGGGACAGTGATGATCATTGACCCTCGCAGGTCTACATTCTGAGTCCCAAACATAAGACAAGCAAACATGGATGGGTAAACAGATGGGAAAGGGAGAGAGGGACTGTGCTTGACATGATAGTCTGGTGTTGAAGAAGAAGAGAGATAGGAGAAGAGTCTTGGGAGGGGAGACGTGTTTATATATCCCTCGAACTAGACGGCGCCCCCCACCAGGAAAGCATTCGGTTAGGTACAGAGCGGAAGGCAGGAGGAGGCAAGAGGGGGTAGGAATATACAGGCGGTCGAGGTAAGAGGAAGGAAGAGGTAAGAGGAAGGAAGAGGTAGGAGGTAAGAGGAGGCAGGGGCCGA